AAAATTCTTAAAATTTTCCAGGAGTTTAGATCTTGAAGTTCTTTAAACCCAAAACATTTTGTTGAGCATTTTGAGTCTCTGTTCGAAATATAATTTAAGATTATCAATACGATTATTCGACTTAATGATAGAATAGGTAAACCTTCGGGAAGCCCCATAAATAATTGCCCAAGTAACAATTTTGGTTTTATCATGGTTTTGAAGAGGCCTTACAGGTTTAGAATTGACTTAAAGACCACATTGAAATCGGAAATGATGCTTGTGTGGTTTGGAATATTAGGTTTTTCAAAATTTCTGGAGTTCAGATCTTTATTCTTTTTTTATTAATTTATATATTTTATTATTATATATTATATTATTATATATATCATAGTATTATATGTTGTATTATTATATATTATATTATTATATATTATACTATATACTATAGTAACTTAAACACTCATTGATCATTCGTGACTTATCCCGGTTAGATTTAAGCAGTGTTGCAAAATATCATGACACTCACGTGACACTCGTCTTCGCACCAACCGACTATCGCTGACAGATCTTTTGTCACGCAGTGAGAGTTAGAGTCATGGCAAACAACAATCACCAGTAATGGTCGCTACTCACAAGCAAAACGCTACACTCGCTGCTGATGGTGAAAAGCACAACGAAAACAGTGAAGACTTCTGCAGTACGATCATGAGAAAAAGCGAAACGACAGAAGAAAATGAAAACAATGCCTACGCATTCCAAGTTCGTCTCGGCAGCGCCTGCTGTGTGAGTTACAAACAAAGCAGGCAACATGAAACAGAAGCTGTTGGGCTCACTCACCAACACACTCAAATAAGCAAGTAAAGCAGCAACTGCTTCAAAACGAGCACAGATGAGTGTCGTGATTGTCGGGAATGACCAGATCGGTGACGGATCACAACAGAAGACGACATTCATCAGTTGCTTTTTACTTCTTTCATCAACTTGATGGATGGTCATGGAGAGAGCTTCGACGACATTGATAGGAATGTACAAAGCGTTACTACCATCAGCTGTTTGGCGATCGTGATTGTGATAGGTCACAACTCTGGATTTAAGTTCATAATAATGATGATTACCCCTAGGTTTGAGCTGGATGATTTATCTCTAAAATAATCAAGTACATTGACTTCAGCGTGAGAGGTATGGATTCAGATCTTTATATTTTAAAGGCTACTTAAGGTATTCTACGATATCCTGACTAATCTTGTGTACCTGATTAGCACAAAGTGCAGAAATTATTTTTAATTTATCTCTGGACCAATCATCTCATGATTTTTTTAAGTTCGTTGATTGTGTACGGTGTCAAACATTTGCATACCAAGCATGATCGGGTATGCAAGGAGTTTGAGATCGGACATTTTTTAATTGGCATGAATTTGCTTCTCTATCTTCAAGTAGCTTCGTGACAAGATATTTCTCGGTTAGGCTTTATATTAACACTACTTTACTCGATAAACTGTAGCAAAATAATTCAACAAATGTTCATCCAATGACAATCAAAAGAAATTCTAAAAAAATACTCTGTAAGCTATCTTGGTAGCTCCACATGCGCCAACAAATGAAAGAAAAGAATAGATTTGTTTTGTTATTTTAAGGAATTTTGATACTTTACCACAGTGAAAGCATAATATGAAAATTGTAAACAGAAGTGTAAGCAAATGAATATAATTATGTATATTAAAAAAAATTGGATTCCATATAAAATTGCCAATTTTATAAGGGTTTAAATGATTCTTGAAGACCAAATTATGGCCTACAAGACTATGATAAAACCAAAAATGTTACTTAGGATGAGAATACATTATCTTTCCCGGTGCGATTTGGGTTTTCCCGCATTTTTTCCGAATCCGAATTCCCGGTTTTCCCGGTTGGATGGACACTCTGAAAATTACTCAAGTGGTGCCCTTGGTGTAGTGGTAAGCGTGATAACCTCTCACCCCAGCAGGCCTGGGTTAAATTTCAGTCTGCGCCGCCGGGATGTTCTGAGGCATAACATCTCTGATCACGCCTTTCTTCGGAAGGGAAGTAAAGCCGTTGGTCCCCGGTTCATGCGTTGATGGTTCGATAGGTAGGGTCCAGGTGTGGGAGCTGCCTTGCCTTCCTGGCGTCGCTAGCATTGGTGCTCAGCACGGAAAACAAGATCGACGGAAAACAAATCAAGGGAAAAAAAACCAAAAGTGCTATAAACCAACAATATGATTGATCTGAACGTTAGTTCTGTGGAAGTCGCAATTCGCTAACAACATTTTGGTAAAGTCGAATTAAAATTATGAAAACAGTATAATCTGAGATAATTCATCATATATGTGAAAGTCTACGTAGACTTTAGGAAAATGGGGGAGGGGTTTCAGAAAAATCTACTTAAGTCTACGAGTGAGCAGTAGACTGATGCAAAATTTGAAATTTTCGCTCCACAGTGCTCAAACGGTTCCAAATTTGGTCCTGATTAGCCTTCCAATATTTGAACTCATTTAGTAAGAAACTGACTTGGCACAAACCATTTGAAGTTTATATGGAAATTACTATAAGAAATCCATATTTTGTGTTAATATCTATCTAATAATTCACCAGTTCACTCTGCTTTAGAAAATGATAGCTGTGCTTGTAGAAAATTTTCTCAGTCCAGTGGCGTCGCGTCCACATGTGCAACCTGTGCACGACACAGGTGTGAATAAATTTAAAAAAAAATGCGTTTAGATTTTCATAGATTTTATGGTCACATTACAGCTGTACTCCAGACCACAAGTGACCAAGAATACACTATTTTTTAAATCTTCGACCTTCGCATTGATTTATAAGCATGTCGATATCACTACCATGACAGAACTCGTTAAATAGTGCACCTAAAATCGAGCTTTTTCGGGTGGCGTGTGGATAGATGCTATCCAGGGGATGCCATGAATTTCTCTAGATTTGTTTTGTATCAAAAATGCTTTCGGAAGTGTTTGACGGATATTCTTTATTACACTTCAGTCGAAAGAGTTAGCCTTGTGATAAAAACGAGAATTATTAAGTTTTGCAATTCCTCCCACTTCGGTCACCGTGAAAAGGGCCATACAAGTTTTGTTTATACAAGATGATAGGCCCTTCAAATGTTACGTTAGGTAGTGATTAATATAGTAATTGAGAATATGGCCCTCGAATTCATGAATCATTGAAATACATACAAAAACTAATATGTGGTGGTGAGCTATAACTACTTTGTTGAAGACCACTTTTCGATCAAATGTAAGAAACAGAAGTTATTAATGATTCAAGTCACTGATGTCTTATGATTATGCTCAATCAACTGTTCAGCAGACAACATTGGTGTTTATGGCGCGTTTAATAGAGGACAAAAATCATGGCTACTATGTCACACTGCAGAATACAGTGTTGCCCACAATACAGTTGCTTAATCTTGCCATAAGATTATCAACCTCTTAAACAATTAATAACTATTTCATTTTACGTTTTACTGTTTTCTGCAAAGTTGTAGCTGATAAAAATTCCCATAAGAATAGCAATAGAATTTGTTCACAGTGCAATATGTAAAAAGGCTAGAAGACAATGAACAAAAAGTTTTGTTTTCCCATAGTAATTTCCATATAAACTTCAAATGGTTTGTGCCAAGTCAGTTTCTTATCAAATGAGTTTAAACTTTCGGAGGCTAATCACGACCCGATTTGAAACCATTTGAACACTGTGGAGCGAAAATTTCAAATTTTGCATCAGTCTAGTGAGCAGGAAGGGGTTGAACAGTATCAAATTTCGGTCTACCAGCCCCTTATGATCCATGATGAAATTGCATGCTGGTAATTTTCATAAATTGCCTGTAACTTTTTTGCCATCTATGATAATCGTCAAATGTACCTACGCAATCTCACAAGCAAATGCTATCATTCACTATTATTCTGCGAGAGAAAAAAGTTCCTCGTGTCAAATTGAAGGAAAAGCAAACGACTATAATGCGTCTATGCGTCAATGCAAAGTGTTACGCCAAATATGCTTACTTTAATAAAAGAGATACCAATCTTTCCGAACGCAAGAACCCCCAACATACAGCAAACAATAACAACAGAAATGTTGGCCGAAAGTAAACCGGTGAAAATATGAATGCTAATGGATGTATTGAGATCAAACCCCCACAGAAATCCAGGGCGGTGTTAAACACTGCAAGAAATGGGGGAAAATAGTAGGTGAAAAGTTGCAGGATGTTTACTCGTACAATTGGTAAGTGCCCTCCTGAATTGGACACCATAAAAACGCCGGTTTGGTGAAGCATTAACACTACTGTAAGCGTGTGGCGAGAAAACTGTGCCGACCGATTTTGTTTGTTTATGTTTTCCCAGCACGGAATCGCTCTGTTTTGGTTCTCTCCCTGAGGAGAAATTTCTCTCTATGAGAAAGGTTCGGAAAAACTCTTCCAAACTGCTGAAGAGAGTGAGTGCCTTTGGTGCGACAGTCATCGTCATCATCATCGAATGCTTATCGCCATAAACATCGCCTTTGTTGAACACATTGATTGTCAACAGGCAACTCGGAGGAAAATACTTTCACTTTCATATCAGCATTTTTACACGCTTGTTTGTTTTTAAGATTTCCTCAACCCAATGAAAATACTTTCGTAATAACCATAAAGAAGACATGCAGGAATGCACAATCACCTAGCGGCTGTGTTGATGTCCTCAAATCTCGAGATAAAGTTATTAAAGTACGTCATTGGGTAATTGCTTGGATTATTTTGAGCTGTGAAAAACTATTTTACAAACATTCATTGAGGTTCCGCCGGCAGCTCAATAAAATGTGATGCTCAAACACATACATATTTCAATCAGTTGTATCAGCAACTGCAGCTGTGAATTGAAAGTTGCGCCCATGGAGCAGCATGGTACTTCACCTCAGTATGAATGTACCATACGACCGACCGGGCGTCTCCTCCATTTGACATACAATTTTCGTTTATCTACCTAGTTTGAAAATTTCCACGGAATACTCACCATGCTGCTTGGCCAGCACCTGCAACAGCGGCGGAATGAGAAAGTCCCGATTCCAAATCGTACTGGGCCAAGGCGTCAGCGGTATCTGCCGGGTGTCAAGTTCGATCATATTCGGTCGCTTCTTTGTCTTGGCATGCGGTTTCACCGTCAGCGGAGTTCGACTCACCCGATGGCCGCCACCGTTCGTCACCACTGCCGCCCCCGGAACAGCACCAGCATTGCTATTTTTGTTCTTTTTCAGTTTCGGTCGGCTTTCCGGAGGTTTCACTGGTTTTGCCGTCGGTTTTTCGAAGCGCATCGTCATGCCGTTCGGTTTCTTCGGTTCGTCGCGGGAGTCGGGCCTTAGTCGTACGATTTCCATCTTCGACGCGTGTCGATCATATTTTGGCGCGGGTAAAGGAACCGGCTTACGACTGGGTTCGATTTTTGGTGCTTTCGGAGCAACCGCTTTGGAGGAAGTCGACCCACTGGTGGCCGCCGGTGAGGAAATGCCAAAGGGATGGGCAAAATAGAACATGCAGATCGGTGCCGGGCTCTGGACGGAGGGGAGGAAAGAGAATGGTAAGACAAGATTAGTTTACAGAAATCTATTGCAAGCTATCGAATGTTGGGTTGAGTCATCTGTAGTATTTGTGAATGGAACCATATGGGCGTTTGAAGTGTCTTCTGTGTCGAATCAGAAATGAAGAATGTGCTCCACAGATGAGAGCAATACACTCTATCTGGGTATCGGAACCGCGTTTTATGGGTCATTAGAATGATCGTTAGACTTCTTGCTCGCTGCTCTCGGTAGGGTTCACGCTCCATAAACTCATGAGAATAAGCAGATGATCGGATTCGATATGTCTTAATTATGACTGGCAAATGAAATCATGATTAATTATATGGTTCATTGACTTCGCAATCGCAGTAGCAAATGGACGCGCATATTTGCTGTACTTCTAGACTAGAGGTTCTAGAAGCTTAACTTCCATAACTTTATTATTATAAAAGGGAACAAAGCAATAGTATTTAATAAGTGGACAGTATAATTACGAGCACACTCCGAATTCTGTCGTTGAGTGTAAATATTTAACACCCCGGTCACAATGATTTTTAATAAAATTTATTAACCAGCTAAGCTAAATAATGGGATAATAGCTTGTATGAACAATATAATCTGTTTCGTTGGAAATGAAAAAAATGTAAGGGATGTATGTGTGTGTGTGTGTGTGTGTGTGTGTGTGTGTGTGTGTGTGTGTGTGTGTGTGTGTGTGTGTGTGTGTGTGTGTGTGTGTGTGTGTGTGTGTGTGTGTGTGTGTGTGTGTGTGTGTGTGTGTGTGTGTGTTCTCTATAACTCCCACTGGCCGGCAGTGTTATTATGGAAGAACTCTCTCTACAATGTCGCATTTATGGTCATTGTAGACAGCTTTAGTCCGGGAGTTAGAAAGTGATAGCTCTATTGCAGATCCAGCAACCCATTTCAGAATGTCTGGAGAGTCACGCCCATTCCGAGGTTACTTTCACTTACAATAAACCCCGCATCACCGTTATCAAATGGATATTGGTATTACATACACGCTTCCAGGTTCGATAATACTCTTTTCAAACCTGGCACGTACCTATTTAGTTTATGTTTGTTTAAATTGCAAAATGTATTTTGACTGGTCTCACCATGTTAATTTGATCCTCCAATCCATGGGTTCCGTAATTTTTATTTTCTCTAAGCTTTGCATCTAATTTCGTGATGCACCTTTGTCGTAATACTTCCTTTGACGAACACAAATTTTCTTGCATTGCGATGGTCATCTGGGAGGAGGTTCGCGTCTAGTGCTTTCTTCAGGAACAGCTCGTGGCCACCAACTGCCACCGGTCCAGTCTTAGGCGTATCCAGCGAGGCATCTTTCATATTGCTCGAAATCTCCAACACCGGCGAGAGACCAGCAGCCGAGCAGTTTGGCAAGCGGAAAACTTGTTGATTCACGGCAACGTCGGCCACCGAATCACCACCAAAACTCGTGACGGACACATTATCAACACGTTCCCGGGCTAGTTCACCAACCGGACCGATCTCTCAATAGAACTACACACCAAAAGTGTAGCATCTGAACAAGGAGAACCGGGCTCCTGGGAAGTAATGAAAATTGACACCGAATAATGGAACTGAAGCTGCGTCGTATATTTTGGAGGTTAGATTCAAGGTCAACCGAGTCATTCAAGGCAAACACAGGCAAAACACGATATATCACAAAATGATAACTTTATGAACACTTGAAACTAAATTTCAGAACACAAATGAACAAATTTAATGCCAAAAAGTGTTTAATTTGCTTACGAAAAACACGTAGCAAAATAAAAACACGTCAGCTTTCAAGCGTGGCCTACTGCGATCAATGAAAAAAATGTAAGGGGTGATACTTATATTAAAGGTGGTGAATGGGTGGAGGGCTGGGGTGTAAGATTTTATTTTTTCCAGTACCAATGCTACCGACGCCAGGAAGGCAGCTCCCACACCTGAACCCTACCTATCGACCCATCAACTCATGGACCGAGCGTGCTTCAGAAAATCGCGACGGCACCAACTGGGATTGAACCCAGGACCTTTGGAGTAATACGGTGGTGTAAAATTCTGTGACACTAGCTTTACCCTCAGAGGAGTCTTTTTCTTTCCGTCGATCTTGTTTTCCGTGCTGAGCACCAATGCTACCGACGCCAGGGAGGCAGCTCCCACACCTGGACCCTACCTTTCGACCCATCAACGCATGAACCGGGGACCGACGGCTTTACTTCCCTTCCGAAGGAAGGCGTGACAAGAGTTGTTATGCCTCAGAACATCCCGGCGGCGCCGACTGAGATTGAACCCAGACCTGCTGGGGTGAGAGGTAATCAAAAGGAATAAAATTCAAAATAGACTAAAATGGATTAAATTCTTCATTTACCGTGGCATTTCATAAACGGGATGTGTTCATAGTAAGTAGTAAAAAATTTTTATTTTCTTTGATTGAGGTGTTGCATTTCAAGCGTAACTATTCAAATCGACATATCTGCTTTTGTAAACAATCAATTCCATCGACGATTTGTCTTAACTGCTATCTCACCCACGCAAACAAACATCATCATCAGGTAGAGGAATCTTTCCCCTACTAGCTGGTGTTGTTAGTTTCTGTGAGTGAGCTAGCAGTTGCCACAAATCGTCGATTGAAGTGATTGTTTACAAAATCAGATACGTCGATTTGAAAAGTTCAGTTGATTTGTTGTTACATTTTAATTGATAAAAGGTCGAAGGACAAAAGGTCGAAGGACAAAAGGTCGAAGGACAAAAGGTCGAAGGACAAAAGGTCGAAGGACAAAAGGTCGAAGGACAAAAGGTCGAAGGACAAAAGGTCGAAGGACAAAAGGTCGAAGGACAAAAGGTCGAAGGACAAAAGTTCAAAGGACAAAAGGTCGAAGTACAAAAGGTCGAAGGACAAAAGGTCGAAGGACAAAAGGTCGAAGGACAAAAGGTCGAAGGACAAAAGGTCGAAGGACAAAAGGTCGAAGGACAAAAGGTCGAAGAACAAAAGGTCGAAGGACAAAAGGTCGAAGGACAAAAGGTCGAAGGACAAAAGGTCGAAGGACAAAAGGTCGAAGGACAAAAGGTCGAAGGACAAAAGGCCGAGGACAAAAGGTCGAAGGACAAAAGATCGAATTGAACCTAGAGAGAAAAAAGGTCGAATAGACAAATGTCGAATGGCTTAAGGTCGACTGGACTAAGGTCGAAAGGATAAAGGGTCGAATGAGCATAAGGTCGAATAGACAAAAGATTAAATAGACAAAAGGACGATTTGAACTTAAAGGACAAAAGGTCTAATGGAAAAAATGTCGAATAGACAAAATGTCGAATGTACAAAAGGTCGAAGGGTGCGCACTTCCAGGTATGAGTGCGTGATATTTAAAATACATAGTAATAACTGAAATGCTTTGAAGACAGTTATAATTAGAATTTAAATACTTTTAGCGGCATTGAAAGTAATCAACAAATAACTAATGATTATAACTGTAATGAAAAGTAATTTAAATGTTATGAATAAAATTTTTAAAATTTTGTCAGTAATTTCAGTATTTAATTAAATTCAGAATATGTTTCAAGTAATGAATACAGGAATGGCAAGATTTTCAATATTTGGTCAGCAGGCTGCGTAGAATTGAAAGACTAGTGCGTGCCCTTTACAAAAGGTCGAATGAAAAAAAGGTCAGATGAACTAAAGGTCGAATGGACAAAAGGTCGATTGAACAAAATGTCGAATAAAGTTTAGAGGGACAAAAGGACTATCGAATAAAAGGTAGATCGGACAAAAGATTGATTTTAACAAGTTCAAATGGACAAAAGTTCAAATGGACCAAAGTTCTAAATGGACCAAAGTTCTAAATGAACAAAAACTTGAAGTGGACATAAGTTTAAACAACCAACATCAAAATTTACAAAATATTGTTTAGACAACTTTCGCTCAGAGTGTAAAAGAACTTAAAATAACTACTATGCAATTTCTCCCAAAGAAGAACTCATTATTTAAAGAAAGGATATATTCTATTGGAAGGAGGTTAAACTTAAATTGCAGTAACACGCACAGTAACTATTTGTTATCTTAATTATCCAGTCCACATCGTGCTCTCTTGCCATGTTAGTCTATTTGCTTTTTGCTGAAGGAAGTTTTACCATTCGATGGAAACTAACGATTTTAAATTCGCTCACTACTTGACAAGCGTATTGGTCCCAAGCGAATCGATTAACGTACCCCATTCTAGCCGAAATTCTAGTACTACACTATGTTTGTTTTGTTTCTATATGAAAGTTTGACAGATAAAATGAGGGGTTCGTGGATTTTCCTATGTTTCGAGGGGTGCATTGATTAGCTTGGGACCGAAGAGAGTACCAGAGCTGAGCCAAAAAGTTGAGCACGTTTCTTCGGGACCTTCTGGTCTTAGAGTTAGCTCTATGATTTTACTGCTGCCTAAAGCTACAACCAATTTAAACAACACTTCTCAGTGCTCAATATTACCTGCAAATTGTCTACCTTGTTTGACTATTATTGCTCTTTGTTTGAACATAGACTTGGAAGATTCCTCTTCGACCATTCGGATTCTTATGCTTGGAAGTCGATTAGGAGTAAAATTAAAGAGTTTTTTTTACGTAGGATTTCGTCTTTCGGCAACATATTGGGGGTGCAATTTCAGAAAATCAAATTCAACCGCATTACGAAAAGAGGTCAGGTGCAGAATGTGTAAAGAAGGAGGGACTTCGGTTGTTAATCTAAATGCATATATAGAGGTACCAGACATGTTTTGCACTGCTTTTTTCTTTTTCATTCGTTGCTAGACCGTCTAGCAGTATAGTTCGTTTGTTCGTTCGCTTCGATATCGAGTTTTTTCTAGTTCGTTTTATTGCTACGTTCGCGTCGTGGAAGTGTCGTCATCGACAGGCGCAATTAGACTTGCACTTGCCAATAAACAAAGAAAATGGCGGTGGTGACGCCGGTGAAATTGCGAAAAAGGAGCGGATTCCCCCACTGTTTACCC